AGAGAAATTGAACCACAAATCATGTTTAGATTATGTGTTGGCACTGTAGAGACCCATAGAGGTCGTGTACATGTTGAACTATCTGCTTAATTGTTGTTTTGTACTCGGTCACAGTTTACTTATTTATTTTATCTCAGTCTCTATTTTTCACTATTGATGCATAATATTATTGTTGTTTGGGCTGATTTTTCGTGATTATTGAGAGCCCGAGAGACTAGAGGGATTTATGACTGAGTGACGCCGAGTGCCTGATTGTGAGATATTATATTATAGCACGTGAGTTATCCGTGCAACATGTGAGTTGTCCGTGCAGATCCATATATTATACTATAACACGTGAGTTGTCCGTGCGGATCCAGATATTATACAATAGCACGTGAGTTGTCCATGCAACACGTGAGTTGTCCGTGCGGATCCAGATATTATACTATAGCACGTGAGTTGTCCATGCAACACGTGAGTTGTCCGTGCGGATCCAGATATTATACTATAGCACGTGAGTTGTCCATTCAACAAGTGAAATAAGTTGTCCATTCAACACGTGAAATAAGTTGTCCCTAGCAAATAACTTTAAATCTTACACCTAAAATAACGCAGCCAAAGCATTTTATTACCTTAAGAAGGGTTAATTGAGTTACACTATTGAAAACAGATTTTGTACTTAATTATCACATTACTTTATTTGGTTATTCCCATTTACAAAAAAATAAAACTAACAAATCTGGAATATAACATGTATTATTATACATATGGAAGCCTAGAATATAATCTCAGAATTGTGATAATATACATTGTATAAGTCATGTATAAATTGTAATTAACTATGTATNATATATATATATATATATATAGTACGTGATTATGTGTAAATATGTATATTCACGATATAATGATGATATTTAATAGTATATAAATTACAATAAAAATTCTAATATGGTAATATACACAGCATAATAATGGTAGTTAATAGCGTATAAATCACAATGTTATCCTTTTAGAAGAAATATGGCATAAATCAACGAATAGAGGGAAATTTCTTTGAGATTTTTGGTATATTTTGGTTTATGGAAAGAGAGAGAATCTGGAATTTTGTTTTTTGCTTTTTATTTTTTTGGAAGAATCTGAAATATTATTAGTGTTGGCAGAGATGGAAAGTGTTTCCCTAAATATTCGTAAGACTGTTTCATGGATACGGTTTCTTAATGCTCTTTTTGGCTTTTAAATGGAATTCCTATTGTAGTGGCATTTAAGCCGTTATATATATATTTAAATAATACTACATGTGTAATAAAATTTGCTATTATTGCATTAAACAAGAAATACTATTAGTTATGAGAATAAATTTTGTAAAGATATCATCCATGTAAAAAACTCAAGAGTATGTGGGTCATTATTAACCCAAATATCAACCATAGTACAAATAGTAGTATATTATTTCCAATTTATGGAATTTGGGAGATGCTAGGGTGCATTTAGATTATACCTGTTAATAGGCCCGGGTTGATCCGTTTACAGCCCGGTTCAGCCCGTTAACCCATTAACGGGTTGTTAACGGGTTACAGCCCGGTTCAGCCCGTTTATTAACGTTTTTTTTTTAATGGACCAACTGAAACTCCTAATATGACACTTGTATTTCTTATCTACACAAACATTTAGAAACATTATATAATTATTATGCTAACATTGTTGATGCTTCTTCTGCTGTAGATGCAAATATTCCTTCAAGTTCAGTTTTAACATCTGGGACCAGTGCTTTGGATGATAATGATGGTGTTGAAGATTATTTGATTTGGTCTACAATAGGGGAGCATCAAGCCATCAACAAACCAGTAGCAGGAATAACAATGAACTTCAATTCTACTTGCAAAAGTCAGCAGAGCCCCGCACAAAGGAATTTCTACCATTGGGTTGGTGGAGGAGCAACTCAAATCAATTTTCTGTTCTTTCGGCCATGGCTCGAGACGTGCTAAATATGCCGATTTCAACAGTCGCATCAGAGAGCGCATTTAGCCAAGCAAGGTAGCAATTAGGAGATACCCGTCATTCATTGGGTAGCAACGCTTTGGAAATTCTAGTGTGCTTCAGAGATTGGATAAGATCAGAACGACGAAATCAAGGGCGTGACGAGGTAGATGAAGCGGAGGACCAAGAAATTGGAGATATAATGGTTTATGGTTCCGATTCAACCAATGCCGGAAATCAAAAACCTCATGTTGACATGAATGAACTTACAAAAATGATGCAAAGCATGTGATGTACTATTTGTTTTTTTATAATTATTGTAAACTTTTAATTTGCAAGTTTAAAAATAACAAAATCAAAAAAGAACTTGCAACTTAATTTGAAGTATTATATATTATTCAATAAAAATATCAAATGAAAGTCTTCGGAACTTGATCCTTACATATAGGTCTTATTAAATAATTTTTTGTAGCCACTTACTTTCAAATTTTAATTTTAACATTATAAAATTCAAATTTTAAATTTTAAATTTTAAATTTTAAATTTCAAAGTTTAATTCTAAGCCTTAAAAGTTTACAAACACTTAAGTATCAATAACATTGAATAAGAAAAATAAAATTTATTTAAAAATAAAAATAATAATCCACGGCCCGCTAACAACCCTCTAAGCCCGAACCCGGATGGACAAAAAAAAATTCGAAAAAGTACAGCCCACTAACTCAGTCCTCTAACAGCCCGCAACGTTAAACGGATGAGCTGATTTTTTTTTGTCTAGCCCGTCCCAACCCGCCCGTTAAACACCCATAATTTAGATGGATGAATGAGCCAATTGAATCCTTCTTTTGTGAACTTCTACAATAAGTTGTCTGTCCTAAGATTAAAAATTTCCTAGCCACAAAATGCATGTTTTATTACCTTTTCTTTTTAATTTAACAACAGAAAAACTTTTAAAACTTGTGATTTTAAATATGTGATGATATTCGCATGATTAAAAAAGTATGTTATTAAGAGAAAAATAAATTAAAATTAATTATTTTCAATCATTGATTTAACGATATACTTTGTCATGATAGTCAGAGGCGAGCCTACCTTGGAGGTAGGGGGTCACCGGAACCCGTTAGCCTCGACAAAAATACTGAAAAAATATATTATGCACATTTGTATATACACTCGGGACCCCTCAAATAAATTACCTGGCCCCCTTAAGTAATAAAAGCCGGACAGAAGCGCTGGTTTTGTAGCCTGCTCAAGTGCTTCAGTACCCAGGTTCGAAACTTCACTCCTTCCCTTTTTCTTTTTAATTCAACGATTGTTACTTAGTATACTAATCTACTATTTTTTTTATTTTATCGTTTCTGATTTCTTTAATACTTGTACCAATACTCAACCTAAATTTTTAACTTTTTTAAAAACCCCTCGCTCACCCCTTCCTCACTCCTTCCCTTTATCTTTTTTAATTCAACGATTATTTACTTAGTACTAATCTACTACTTTTTTTATTTTATCTTTTATGATTTCTTTAATGCTTGTACCAATACTCAACCTAAATTTTTAACCTTTTTAAAAACCCCTCGCTCACCCCTTTTGCTTAAAAACAAATATTCTTTTTCAATTGATTGTTTTAACTTTTTTCTGCATTTGCTGAACTCTGACTGTGCGAATCAGCGACGGTGACTCAGTTTGAGACTCTTCTTCAGCTGAAACATACCCTTAGTAAGTTTTTTTTTCTTTAGAAGATATTAACTTAGCAAAATAATCTGCTATCGAACTTTTGCTTTCTACAAAGAGCGGAGTTAAAAAAGAACGCCAAATTAATGCCGTAGCTAGTAGGCATTTGAAAATTGAGTGCTAATGTTAATTTGAAATATTCTTTCAGTGAAGTGTTTGTCTTCAAACAAAATTGTGTTTGAAAATTAGTATAAAGTAGAACTTCGAATTAGGATATCTTTTACAGGACTAGGGTGAAATTTTGAATTTATTTAATTTAATTAATACTTGTTCCCATAGTAGTTAGGTTAAGTAGTAAGCCTTAAAATCTTATTATAACTTGAACATTGGAACTGTTTTTATTAACAAAGTAGTAAGCATTAAAATCTTATTATAACTTGAACATTGGAACTGTTTTTATTAATAAAGTGTGTAGTATAATAATATTCATTTCTTACAAATGGATTTTGGTCATGGGATAACTTTGTTGTCCACTTGGTAACAATATGGTATTTACGTATATAAGTAATGATATTGAATAAAATTAAAGTTTGTATTTTGCTGATAATTTATCATAATTATATGTATTTATACTATGTATTGACTCCCCTTAATTTTCTGATATGTTTACTTTTATATATTTGAAAACTCCTTAACGAAAATTATGGATCCGCCATTGGCCAGTAATTGGTACGCTTAATATAATAGTGCCCCCGTAATGCTCAAATTCTGGGTACGTCTCTGATGATAGTGCACGGCCAAGATTAATAGATCGCCTTATATATGGACTAGTAAAAATTATAGTGTTGTGGTAAAATTAAAGATTTAAAAAGCTCCTTTAATTCACAAGTTTCAATCTCACCTATAGTATTTTCTTGAATACCTTTTTATAAATTCATATCTCCCCCCTGCCTATATGACTACTATCATATAAAGGAACTTGATTGTAAACATATTAAGATTATGTTTACCTTCAGAGCAACAAAGAGTTTTAGAGTGGCGACATTACATTTTTCACTCCTTACCTTTTGTAACTGCGAGCTTATGGGTTATTCATTATCTTATGGTGATTTCGTAATAATCAGATTATTACTTAAAACACTAATTATGAACTGATTTTTGGAAGCGAATCCTAGGTTAGGTTGCACTAAAATGGTAGAAATTTCAGATGAGACTCGTCAAACGTTGTAAGAGATACTGGGCGTGCCCATTTACCCTTCTCTACTTAATTATCAAGCTTTCATGCGACGTTTCTAAACCTTGTACTAATAAGAAATATAAGAAAGCTAGTAAAGAGAATTCTAGATATTAATACTGTATTTCTAAGGTCATTTCAACAGAAATAATGTCATATAGATACTGCTTTCTGCTGAATGAAATACTTCGTAAATACATATCATGAAAAAAGCCTTATAATTTACCCTCTTAGTCTCACTCAATCACCTTATTCCTTCCTATTAGATATAGATTTAACACAATATATAAATTTCTTACACCATCAGGTTAAGTTGACCTGTAACAGATAGTAACTGTTTCACAATAGACAGTAAACTTAAACTCGATCATTGTACGCGTCTATCTTGGATGCAGTTCTGTAATGGATACTTCATTCTCAGACAATAATGGTATTGATTTGCTTGTAGAATATTGATCTGATTCTAGCCCTTTTGGTAGCATCTCTGTTCGACTACGAAAAAAGAATGCAGGTTGTTGAGGCGCCGCCTTGGTAACAGAGTAACTATTAAGCATGAGCACCACAGATTCCATTGTAGGCCTTTCAGTAACATCTTCTTGAACACATAACAATCCGATATGTATACACTGTATCACTTCATTTCTTGAGTATGACTCTCCAAATGTTGGATCCATTATATTCAATGGCGTTCCGTCTCTCCAATTCTTCCAAACCTATAAGATTTATCGATCAAATGATTCAAAATTAGCATCAGCAAGCAACTTATCTAGCTGGAGCTGCATTTATAACTTTAACTAAGTATCGTAGAAAGTCATAAACTATCTTTTTATAACCAAGAAATCACTCAATTTTGCAATCATAGAAAGTCACTAGTGGCGGCTAGGGGTGGATTTAGGGGGCGGAAGAGGGTTTCGCCGGAAAATTACACCGTACATATATGATAAAATCCGTTTTGTGCCTCTATATATTATATTTTGAATCATCTGTCCAAAAGCAAAGCTCTGTGGTTAAGGGTTTAAAACCTTTGTGAGGTTGCTAGTTCAATTCCCACTGGTCATAGTCCTTTTTAATTTTTAAACTTTTTCTTTTTTGAACTCCCTTAGCGGAAATCCTACTTCATCCATTGGTAGCGGCAACACTTTCTTGTGCATGATTATAATTAGTGATTAATGTGATACTTAGGCAAAGTTGAGCGTTTCTATTATGAAAAACAGTTTAGTGATTTCAGGTGATACTTACACAAAGTTGAATTACTCTTTTGTGACAATAATAATTTAATGACTTTGGTTCGATAAAATGAATGTTGACTGACCATCCGTAAATTTACCCTAAATGTGAACTTACATAGCTAAGAAGATCTTCAGCTCCATCTGATTGGTAAAATGAGCTATTCTTCTTTCCACTTATGATCTCCAAAAGTAGAACACCAAAGCTGAAAACATCAGATTTAACAGAGTATTGTCCATGCATAGCATACTCCGGCGACATGTAACCGCTATAGTATAACAAACAAGAAGAAATGTTAAGCTAGAAAAAGGGTATTTTTTTAAAGGAAAACAGACCTTTAACAACTTTCAGATTCTTAGTAGAAGTTGAAAATGTGCCAATATTCAATGATTCAATGGGCATTGTGAAAAGAGAAACAATAGAATCTAAATAGACAGGAAAAGAGGATATATTAACGTAGCTAATTCAAAACTTACTATGTCCCAACAATCCTGTTTGTTATATCTTCACTTTGATCAATTCCAAATATTCTTGCCATTCCAAAATCTGATATTTTGGGATTCATATCAGCGTCTAACAATATATTGCTTGCTTTGAGATCACGGTGTATAACTCTTAGACGTGAATCCTCATGAAGGTAAAGTAGTCCACGCGCAATCCCTCCTATAATCTTGTAACGTCGAGACCAATTCAGTAGATGCTGCTTTTCAGGATCTAAACATTTATCATAAACAGAGTTATGTTTAGGCAAAAAGGTGTAAATCTTGGAATCAAGAAAACTAGCAATGACAACTTGAACTACCTCTTAAAGATCTTAAGAAATCACTCTATGTAAAATGTTGCATGTAAGTTGCATAAGCTAGATTTTCACTAGATTAAGTGAATGCATATTTGTGATAGATAGGCCCAAAAAAAAGGAAAAAAGACAATTTGGTGTACTAAGCTCCGGCTATATGTGCGGTCTGAGTAAGGATCGGATCATATTGGATCTATGTACATTGTCTTACCTTGACTTTTTGCAAAAGGCTATTTCTTTCCATAATAAGTAATTTTAGCAACAAACCTAGTTTTATCCGACAAGTGGGGTCTGGAAGGGTACGCTGTACGCAGACCTTACCTCTACCTTATGAAGGTTGAGAGGTTGTTTCCAGTAGACCCTCAGCTCAAGGAAAGCATAGTCGCAACAGTATTGGAAAAAAATACGGTAGTTTAGAAGCCATGGAAAAAGAGGTAGTAACAACAACAAGATAATAAGATAATAAAATAGCCGAAGCAAAAGAAACATGTAGAAATAGAAATCTAAGGATATGAAATACGAGAATACTATTACTACTGACATGAAAGATTTTAGCAACAAGAAGAATAAAATGAATGTTAGCATATTGAAAGTTGAAACCAACCAAATAAGAAATAGTCAAGGCTTTTGTTGGGGACAAATTCATAGACAAGTAGCTTTTCCTCTGCTTCAAAGCAATATCCCAGTAGTCTCACTAAATTTCTGTGTTGAAGCTTCGCGATCAACACGATCTCATTCTTAAATTCTTGTGCACCTTGCCCTGAACTTCTCGATAGCCTCTTCACAGCTATCTCTTGTCCATTCGGAAGTATACCCTAAGTATGTAATAAGATATCAAATTTTCATACAAGTTAAGAATATAACGGAAGATGGACTGAATTGGCAATATTTGGGCGTGTTTAATGCGACTAAAGTCATTTTTGATGAAAAATAAGTGAGGGAAGTCACAACGGAAAATGACTCTCATGGAAAACATTGTTATTGGAAAAAAAAGTTCGTCGTAGCAAATACACCCATTATGTTCTAAAACTGAAATCACCTTGTAGACAACACCAAATCCACCTTCACCAATTTTATTATCAGCTGAGAAGTTAGTCGTCGCAGCTTGAATATTGGTCAACTGATATTGCAGGGATTCAGTAGTTGAAATTTCATTTCCATCTGTACAAACAAATAAATTCTCAGAGTATCGGCAGCTGCTTCTTTGATTACTTTTAGTAACAATACTACTAAAAAAACTGGAATTAACTACGAACTTCATCGCCAATCTGTTGCTAAATTGCTCTGGTTTTGCGGACGAAAATTATTCTAGTTATGACAATTTACCTGTCATATCTTTTGCAACAATGAATTCTTGCGAACCTCTTCTTCTTAGCCAACAGAAACCAAAAATTAACAGTAGCACTGCAGCAGCAATCGGAACAACTATGGCAATTATTACTCCAGATGCAATTCCCCCTTTTCCTGCATCAGTTAAACAGTGTTTTATTTAAACGTTAAACTTTAGATTAGGAAAGAAATATAAGGTCCCGAAGAGGAAAACGAAACAATAAATAAGTCATTAGAATTCATCGCGGTTGTCATCACCATCCTAGTTCTTTTTAAACTGTTGTGATTATGCTATCCCTATGCTTAGTGTCTATTGTAATAACTTATCTATCTTTACAAGGTAGTAGTAAGTTCTTTGTATACACTACACTTCCCAGACCTCAATTGTGGGACTACACTGAGTATATGTTATTTGTTGTTTTTGTCACTAGATACGGAGAGGTAATGCAAGACAGAGACGGATTTTTAATTTAAAATTATCAAAAAAAGGTTCTCGAAGTGAATTCATAGTAGTTTTTATATTACAATAACAGCAAACCTAGTGAAATCCTACAAGTAGGGTTTGGGGAGGGTGAAGTGTACGCAAACCTTACCCCTACCTTATGACAGTAGAGAGGCTGTCTCCGGAAGACCATCGACTCAAGAGAAGTGAAAATGAAACAATAAACAGGCAGTAACAACAACAATGTAATTAGACACGGGCGCAAATGGAGCAACGTGCAATAACAAAGTTCTAAGAGAACGACACTAAGAATTCAGTCATTCTAGCTGGAAATAATGATACAATGTGTACTAGCAAGAGGTTAAGAATAGGAAAATACAAGACTAGTACTATAGTAGTTTTTATATTATAGGTTCAAAATCTCTGTCTGCTGAAATTTTAACGATTTTATATATATGTATTTATTTTCCATTTGAAAATATTGGGTTCAGATGAAGAAATTACCTCGATCGCTGGTCGTAGGATCAGGCTGTGAAGAAGGTGGAGGAGAAAGGCGAACTGGCGGCGGAGGTGGTGGCGCGACAGCCGTAACGTTGTAAAAAGGATACAATTCATACCTAACATTACAGCTAGGAAGAAGAACTCTACCACCTCTTTTGCCATCACTTGGTAAATTTCCAATAGCAGTTCTCAAGCAACGGTCACAAGAAGAATCAGAGAGATCAGGAGTGCACTGTGCAAGTGTATAAAGTGTCTCTGGTGATGAAAAATTGGCTTCTTTAGTAGCAAACTTTTTCCCATCATTTTCCTTTGCTGCCAAATTTGCTATTTCATCCATCATATTCCGACGTTGTGACAAAAACCTTGTTGGGTCACTAACATTTTGTGTATTAAATAAAATGCGTGCACCTGATTCACCACAGTAGCAAAAATAGATCGATTTGAGAGAAGTAACAAGCTTTCATCGTACCAAATGACAGGAGTTTTTCCCTTTGGACTACACTTTTCTATGTTTTCTTTACTAGTAGTTGTGAGTTGTGACAAACATAATGTGAAAAAAAATCCAAGAATTAACCTAAATAGTCACCCACCCAATCACTTAAATTAAGAATAATTAGAGCCAGAGGCGAATCTACTCTTTGGGTAGTGTTATCGGCCTCCGGTAACCTTTAGGGATAAAAGCTTAGTGGGACCATGATATTTGTGTGACTATAAAAGTTTCTTATTAAGGGTAAATTAGGTAAAATAAAAAGCTTAAAGTTAGTTTGTTTCTAAATATAAAAATGTGTCATTCTTTTTTGAACGGACTAATAAGAAAAGTGTGTCACTTAAATTGAAACGGAAGGAGTATATATTTTGATTGACACCATTAAATTCAAATCTTAGGCAACTTCATTGGTCGATGTAGGGGCACAACTTGACTTTTAGTATGTGTTGCCTGAGTTTGATTCTGGCTCTAGCATTTGCTCAAAATTTTCTTCGATAGCGATGCCCCGCAAACTCTGGATCCGCCTCTAATCGGAAAAATATGTAATTTATGTATTATATATATGAGTTAGAAAATTAAACAGTGGCTATTCGTGTAAAGATCCCAAAAGAATATGATAGCTTATTTTTGGGGTAGGTTTAAGCTAGTCCCTTGAATATTTTTTAAACAGATTTGGTTCTTCAAGTTTACAAAAAATGAGCACTTTTGGCTTACTGGTAAAATTAACCAGAAATTTGAAGAAGAAAACAAACTAACTAAAAACACCAGGAAAGTCCAATCAAATCCCAGAAATTGCAACAGTAAAAACTGCACAAGACACCAACAACAAGTAGGGTCTGGGGAGGGTAGTGTGTACGCAAACCTTACCCAGGGTAGGGAGGCTGTTTCCAATAGACCATCGGCATCTTTCCCTTCAAGAACTACCCCTTGCTCTTGGGGTGACTCGAACTCACAACATCTTGGTTGGGAGTGGAGGGCAGAGCAAGTGACTCGAACTCACAACATCTTGGTTGGGAGTGGAGGGCGCTTGACATCAGAGCAACCCAAAAATAGACAAAAAAAATAATAGCGGACACCTTAAAAAATTGGAGTAACAAATAATAAACTGTACAAAATGAATTCACCTGATTCATCCATTCTGCCAAAGATAGGTAAATTCGAGTAACGTAACAAGCAATCATCGTACCAAATTACAGCAATTTTTTGCGTTGGACAATAATTTTCTAAGATATCTTTACTAGCTATTGTAACACAGTCTTGACAATCAGGTGGCGCAACATCTCCTCTACATAAAAACAAGCCATAAACTATTTCCGAATCCGTACGACCAACTGTAGAGTTGTAAAATCCATTAGGCCGAGAAGCATTAGAGGATAAAGATGATAATAGAACATTGAGATTAGATCTGTAAGTGCTGTTGGGACTGTAAGTAGTTGTATTTGGACAGAAATATGTAAGAGGAGAAGAGCTAACTTGGCTATTGTTTAGGCATAAAATCAAGAAGATGTTGCTACATAACAGAAGATTTCTGAGAATATTGAAGTTCATCACCATGATATGTTAGAATAATATCTGGGGCTTGTGGGATATCTTGGATTATAATTTTTTCTATTTAACATAGTTATGTGAAGATATAGAAACAACTTGTTTTTTTTTTTTTTTTTTTTTTGCCATCTGGTGTCCAAGTTGGGCCGGACAAAATTTGAATTTGTGTGAGGAAAGTGTTATAACTTACTCCCTAACAAAGGTAATTCCATATCCAAGGTTTGACCCCAAGATTTCTAATTAAAGATAAAAAATATGTAAACAATTTACCTTAATATAATTATTAATTAATATTTTTACGGCTCGAATCCGTAACTTATATATCATAAAGAAATAATTTTATCATTGATCTAATTAACTTATTTGTGTAAGAAAGACTGAGAAGACTTGGTTGTTACAAGTCAACAAATAGGCATTATTAGGCAGCTAGGGTTTTTGTAGTGAAAATAATGGCGAATTGATGATGACAGAAGTTGAGATGGTGACTGTAACTTGGAATTTAATTTCCCTCTTACTTTTCTCCACCTCGTCAAACTTTCCTACGCCTATCGCCCACCTATTCGCAATTCACATCATGCCAACTTTTACCAGACAAAAGAAGGACCGCCTGCACCTAAGGTGTGGCCTTGTGGTGACTGAAGTCTAAGAATCAGTTTTAATTTCTAGCTAAGGTAAAAAACGCTAGTTGATTTTTTCCTATTTATTCAAGTTTTGATGGATATAGTTATCTGGTATTTATTGCGGGTGAGAGGTGACACGCAGTTACGGATTTAGAGTATAGTTATTGGGTTTTCGGGAATCCAATAACTTTTGCGGAGATCCTGTATTTTTATTAAAAAATTTATTAAATATCTATAAATATATAATTGTGAACTCAGTTATTATTGTATATTAATTTGAGATTACAACAGGAACCCATAAACTTTATATCCTGGATTCGCCTCTGGTGACTGGTATCCCATGGAATAAGTCGAGATGCGTGAAAGCTGGCTTGGACACCACGGTTATTAAAAAAAAAGCTGCCCAATTGCACAAAACATTCCGTATTCACGTAAGTTCCGGAGAAGGACCACACCTCAAGGGATATAATACAGACAATTTAACTTAATACAAACATTAAATCAGACAGAAAATAATTTTACCGTCATTCCAAAGCTCCTCTCTCTACCGTACAAAAGAAGAATGAAAGAAACTAAAAAGGAGGTTTTTGCTGTTAATTAATATACTATGCCGCTGAAGTAAACTAAGTAGTGTTTGATTTCTTGCAATGACCGAGTAAAAATGTTTACACCCTCATTTCAATTATAGCGTTAAATAATCTATCTATCTATATATAAAGTTGGGAAAATAGGAGACGAGTTGCCACCTCTCTTTGTCCTAGGATCCTATTTATTTATTTTCTCCTTTTTTTTTTTGTTTATTCCCCAATAACTCTAAATATTTTGGTTTACTTCTCTTTCCTTCATTCCTATGATTAATGTCTATTAAGGTGCACTAAATATTAGTGCTATTACGTTACTAGGCATTCCAATAGTCACTTTCTCAATCCTTACCTTAATTACTCTAGTTACTCTCTTCTCTCACTCCAATGTAGTCTTTAATCTTTGTATATATATAAGCCAAACAAGACAAGGGGAGTTGGCCATTTGTTTGATATTCTTTGATCTTTTGGCTTTCCGATTCTAACATTTTTTACTTCTTCTTAACATATTTTATTTTCTTGATTTAAAAATCTTTATCTTTCTTAATTTCTGTCACCTCATCGTTTGGCCTCTCATGGCAACTTATTAATAGTATTGTAAATTTGTTTTTGTCTAGGTGAAGGTGTTGTTTGAAGAAAATATTATATTTTGGATGATGAGAGTACGCAGACGAGGCTTATCCACATTTTGGTGAAAAATCTTCATCTAAAAGGTAAACTATATAAGATAGATATTTTTAACATATTTTTTACTCCTTTGTGCAATATATACATAGCTATTCCAATTTCTAATTTGACATATGTTAGCTTGCAATTTTTCTATGGAAACATAAGCAAATCAAACCTAGAATAGTTGTCCAATTGAAAAAACAATTATTTTGTCGAGAATGATTTATTGGAACACCTTTATGACCTCTGAATTTTAGCTTACTAGAAACTATTTTTCATTATTAATTCATTATTATTTATTTTCTTAAGGTTAAGGATGGTCCAGAAAGATATTATAATATACACTGAGTTGTGTTTTTGCTAAAAATCTTTGTTGCCATTGATATGAAAATGCGTGTTAATGAGCCTTTCGTGAGAGGCTGGGTTTACCCTGAAAATTGTAGTAACTTTTTGCTTACTATGGAGTTCTTATTTTTATTTGCCTTCTGTTGGAGATTTGAGTCACTGTAGCACACATTTGTGTGTTGTGAATTTCTTTTTTTAGTAGCACAATGTACTTCACTTGACTTTTTTTTTTTTTTGGGTGAAATTGGAGAATGTAAGTGTATATAACCAATAATAAGCTGGTATTTTTGCTTTCTTTATGTTTTGTTTCTTCAATTTGAATAAGTAAACAATACATACCTATATTTAAAAGTGAAAAAGTTTCTTAAAAATTCTTTTTAATTTTTTTTATTTTAGAAAAGAGGTTTGATAATGACATATGCAAAAAAATAATATTCTAATTTCAGTAAGAATATTACCCTTTTTAGTTAATCAATATAAAAGAATTAAAACTTATATGCATATAGAAGAAAATTATTATTTATTCTATCTCTGCTAAGTTTATAAGAATATTATTTCTAAATTTATTGCTATTTTTAATTTACAGCGTTAGACAAAAAACACTGTGATTTCTTCGTATTTATTCAAACCTTGATAGATAGAGCTATCTGGTACTTATTGCTGGTGGGAGGTGACAGGCAGTGGCGGATGTAGAGTATAGTTACTGGGTTCTCGGGAACCCAGTAACTTTTGCGGAGACCCTGTGTTTTTATTAAAAAATCCATTAAATATCTATAAATATATAATTGTGAACTCAGTTATTATTGCATATTAATTTGTGATTATAATAGGAACCCATAAACTTCAAATCCTGGATCCGCCTCTGGTGACAGGTATCCCGTAGAATAGGTTGATATGCGTGCAAGCTGGCTTGGACACCACGGTTATTAAAAAAAAAAGGCTGCCCGATTGCACAAAATATTTCGTATTCACGTAGGTTCCGAATAAGGACCACACCTCAAGAGATATAATACAGACAGTCTATCTTAATATAATCATTAAATCAGACAAAAATAAGTTTATCGTTGCTCCAAGACACCCCTCTCTGCCGTACAAGAGAAGAATGAAAGAAAATAAAATGGGGGGTTTTGCTGTTAATTACTATACTATGCCGCTGAAGTAAACTAAATAGAGTTTGATTTCTTGCAATGACGGGGTAAAAATGTTTGCACCCTCATTTCAATTATATAGTTAAATAATTTCTACATTAAAAGTGCACAAAATTTTGGAACTTTTTTCCGTAAACCCTCTAAAACGTCGTCTTTTTTAGCTTAAATTGAAAATGTTAATATAGAGGTTTAACCGTACGCCTGAAGCATTTCCAAATTCCAAGTCAGTAATCAAATTAGCCCACTAAATTGCTAAGTTAAGGACATCAAATTTATTGTTTTACGCCTAATCAAGCAAGAAAAGTATTTTCCACAACGTGTTTTTCCTCTTTGATCAATATAGACTCTGCTTCCATTCAATGTCTTCTGAAATTTATTAATTTAAAAAGCACTTTTGAGCAATAAATAATATTTGGCCAAACTTTTAATAAGTGTTTATAAGTGGACGTTTGGACATAAGAATTGCAAGATTTCAAAAAAAAAGTCAAAATAAATTTAAGTAAAAATAGTATTTGAAAATTAGAGTTGTGGTTGGACATGAATATAATTTTTGGTTGTTTTTGAAGTTTTGTGAGTGATATTAGTGAAAATTTTGAAAATAGCTTTTTGGAGTTTTTTAAATTTTCGAAAAATTCCAAAATTCATCTTCAAGTGAAAATTACAAATATTATGGCCAAACATTAATTTCGAAAAAAAGTGAAAATATTCTTATGTCCAAACGGGTTCTAAGTGTATTTATCTTAAAAGTTCTTTTTTTAAAAAAACTAATTGTTTTTGCTTCTAAAACAAGGCTTCTTCACTCAAAAATATATTTTTTTTTCCTTTTAAAAGTTTGGCCCAAACACCTTAATTGTAGAAAAATATAATATTTTTGGCCAAAGAATCCACAAAAAAACTTGGCCAAAGAGGTTATAATATTGCGGATGGCCTATTCTGATATTGATCATTGGCAAAGTTCAAAAGAAAAAAAACTTATTCAACTTTATACCTTTAAATATTGATACCTATAATATTGCGGATGGCCTATTGTGATATTGAACATTGGCAAAGTTCAAAAAAAAAAATATTCAACTTGATACCTTTAAATATAATTTATTTAACTTGATAACTTATTTAAACTTGATACCTTTATACAATATAGTTTGTCCCAAAAAAATGATATATTTTATATATTTAAAATTAATTTAATTTTATTTCTTTATTTTAGTTTTAATCAAATAATTTATAATTACATAAATATTTATAATTCATTTTAAATTAAAAAGTTAAAATAAATCTTTCTTTTCTTATATTTTCTATCAAACTTGTTTGCCTCATGACATACTATATTTTATGAAATTTTACCTCTTATAGTTATGTGAAGATATAAGAACGTCTTTTTTTTTGTGTCTCATCTGGTGTCCGATACAAGTTGGGCTCGACAAAATTCGAATTTGTGTCGGAAAGTCTCGTATAAGGGGTAATGTGGTCCCTAGCAAAAGACGATTCAATATCCAAGGTTTGAACCCGGGACCTTTGATTAAAAATAAAAAAAAATATAATCTAAAGAACTTACCCTAATACAAACATTAAATATGATTACTTTCACGGTTCGAATATATGACTTATAGATTATACATAAATAATTTTATCATTGTTCAAATTCACTTATTGGTGTAAGAAAGACTAAGAAGACTTGGTTGTTACAAGTCAACAAATAGGAT